TAAAACATCATGATTACAAACAACTGAGTAGTAATCATTCTGAAAACTTTGTAGACCTACACGACCCACAAATACACACACAGAACATTGAAAGGCTCTGGAGAGACCTGGTATAAAAAAATGATTATATTCCGCACTATCTGGCGCGCTATTTATACATTAAGATGTCAGGAAAAATCTGTAACACACGTACATTTTTTTCTTCTGCAAGCGGCAAAAGTCAGTCCCCGCCAGCTCCATTTCCTCTCGACAAGTATAACTCTTCCGACAGGGAATAAAATCAGGTAAGAGCTCACAATTACCTGATTGTTTTTATGTATAAAAACAATGAAAGTATACATTTTACTTATTACAAATCTTTTCGCACACGTAAAGACAATATTCATCTGAAATGTCGATAATAAATTATCAATGTCTGAAACACTAAGACAAGATCACCATGTATGACGGCCAATTATTGACAGCTTAGCGATTATACGGATTATAGTTTTTTAACCATTGAAAATCCTCTTTTTTCGGAAAGCCCCACCCTCGCCAAGAAAACGTTCAGTGTGTGTTTGTCCGCTGCGAAAGCAAGTGTACATGTGAATAATATATAGAAAGCTGGCTAAAAGTCTTACAAACTGCGAAATACACTTAGCGCTGGAAAGACTACCATGTTCAGGATGACGTATTATGGTGAAGTGTAGTAACGGAGGCTCAACGATATATGGCTTGTACAATTTAACGAACGTTTGACGAGAATCGGCGAAATCTACATATATATTGAAAGATTTGAAATTAGAGCAATAAGCAGATGTATGTAATTGTTTTAAATAGGATAGGATAATAGACGCAGTATTAAATTAAAAATTACTAATTTACCGTTGCAAACGGTCTCTGCTGGGATATTTTACCGGTACTTTGTGTTGGACGCCTGTACTGAAGAGCTGTTTTCTCGGCAACATTGCAGGATGCAATTTTCGGTTGACATTTAAATGAAAATCACTCAGCTTAATGCCTCATCAGCAGTGCAGCATTCGCGACTGTTTCTTGTTTCCTGTTACCAGACGGGGTTGGCACCTCAGGGAAGGCAGGGAGTTGCAGGAAGTCAGCCCCTCATTGGAGAAAATATAATTTGCCAGGGAATATTCAAAGAAGAAGAAGAAGAAACAAAAAACACGGCGATAATTTTAATCTGTGCGGCTTGAAGTACCGCCACGGCCTCCGAAGTATTTCGCGCTCAGGAAAAGGTCATATTTGACGATAATCATCACTAAGGTTTGCAAGCTGTGATACTAATGTGTTCAGAGTTTGCTGTCTGAGAATAACATCCGCGTAGACTGCGTGTGCCACAACGATGACACGTAACATAATAGCGCATTTTATCCCCTTGCTTTGCTTTGATTTGTAGTGCTGTTTGTAAATGCAATCAATCAATAAAATACCGTTGCTGCTTGAACAATAATTAACTAGATTCATCCGCACTTCTTGCACCCGTACAGTTTGCCAGTACATTCTGTAAGCTAAACGTATTCTGGCAATAACTACGTCACACTGTCTGGTTTGACTTCGATGCCACCCATTGGAAGGGTTACTATCTCGAATACTGATCGTAGTGCCTTATGGTACAGTTTTCAGGCCTTTGAGTGTTCGTCTGATCTACTAGTTCTTCCTTATGAGAACTTTTCACTATATATGCAACCCTAGCAAGAGGCATCCCAAGATCTATGTTCACAGTATCTTAGCTGCAGGCTTCCTTCGCCATTTTGTCTACGTGGTCGTGCTTGCGTATGCTTGCATGAGATGGTATCCATACAAATTGAATGTTGAAATTGCGCTCTACTGCATAACTTACGTTACGCTTAATGCAACTGTTTTGAATGAATTTAGTGTCCGAAGACCACTTTGAGATTCACAGAAAACTACTCCAAAGTCCCGAGACATTTAGATGCGACGGAAAACAACAGCATAACAACACTAAACTAGGAAGAAATATTGCGTTCCAAGAATAATTGATTCGAAAGGCAGTGGCTGGTTTAAACTTGAAATTTACCATATATATATGTGTGTGTGTGTGTGTGTGTGTGTGTGTGTGTGTGTGTGTGTGTGTGTGTGTGTGTGTGTGTACATATATATATGTGTATGTATGTATGTATATATGCAGTAACAAATAACAGGAAAAAACAAAAAGCGAAAATAAGATTGAAAACAAGTAATAACATCAATCTCATATGAATTCTACCAAGAGGCTGCCACCCTACAATATGTCTATTTTTTTTTCTTTTACACACAACTGTATCTTGGAATTAAAGTTTTTCAGTTTATAAATCTGATGTTCAACTTGGCGCTGTTGGGTCTCCCTGTGAGTATGTAGTGATATGAAAACGATCTTGGAGTCGCTTATTTTATGAATATTCTATGCGTCTCTCTCTCTCTCTCTCTCTCTCCCTCTCTCTCTCCCTCCCTCCCAATTTCTCTTACTCTCTTTCCCTTTCTCTCACTCTCCCTCTTTCTCTCC